TCAGGCTATTTCAATCGAAAATGAGAGTGATTTTCACTCTAAAACGTCTAGTCCCTAATTTCACTCTTTGGAATTAAGAGAGCATTGGATTCCACACAATGGGCTACCCGAGTTAAAATATGTAGCAAATAAATAAAATTAAATGTTTTTAAAGCCTTAAAAATCGCAAAATATCACATCTCATGAGTGTCCCATTAAGCTACATTATGGTCTCCGCGTTGTGGCATAAATCTTCCTCTACATATTGATTGTACACTTTGCAAGATACATTTCAACCGCAGTTTTAAATTCCCCTCCGTTTTGTGCCCCATGGCAAGTCTCGTTCCGTGGCTTCAGACAAGTAATAAGAAGGTGGAAAAAAAAAATGAAATAATCCAATTTGTAGTCTGATCCCAATATGAATTCATTAAGAATTGCCGACAGCTATAGAAGGGGAAAAATTATCCCTGCTCAAGGATTATGCATCGAGGATTCCATGAAATCTAAATTACTGTTTGTTTTTCCAATCCACTTTTCATGGAATGTTTTTCTAGATATTGATTACGGGAATTTTTTCCCTCGGATTTGTGCGTCGAATCGTTGAGAGAGTAATTAAAATTATAAAAATGTTGCAAAGAAGTAATTTGCTTCAAAGTGGCCGGTAGTCATACATATCTCGGATATTTTTGTTTTATTGTAGTATGTACAGGGTGAGTGAAAAAAGTGACCTGGATTAATGATTTCTTTTCTGAAAAAAAACATCAAATTTGATACACCTACGAAGTATGTCTTAAAGGAGCATGTTCTTCCACTCATCTGAAAAGAAAAGAAAAGAAATGTACTGAAATTGATCCATGTTATCCGAAGTTATGCACATTTTACCAAAAGAACTAATTTTTATAGCTGTCCATGGAATGCCATTAGAAGCTTTTGAGTTGAGTGAGAATTTCAGATTACACACAGGCCTTTAAATACAATTGACATTTAAGTCATTCGAGTCAAGACTGAAACATTATTTCGACCGTCGGATTTTGTGTTTTTGAAATGAGAAACAAGTCAAATCTTTTTGCCCCTAAAATATTGATGGCGATGGTTGTCTGTTTTCCTTTGCAAGTTTTCGTTCATTCATGGAGGTGGGAAAACTTCCATGTTTCATTGTATTTAATGGGTATTTATCAGTTCGAAGAACACTAACTTATGAGTGGTGGACAGCTGAATTGTGTGATCTTTTCATTAAAATAGAACATAAAATGAAATTTTCACAGTTACTTTATAGTAAGTACTTTATCCCTATGTCATTTTAATGAAATGAAGCCACGTATATATTATTTTAAAATATGTTTTTTTTTCTAATTCGGTCCCTTTCTTTTTGACTCAAGTAGAATCAAGTTGTTTGACCCTTTAGAATCAAGGGAATACCCACTTCGTTCCGGACTTAATCTGAAACTTTTCTAGTCATAATACTATTGCTCAAACGGGAAAAAATAACATAACAAAACCAAACAAGTTGTTTAATTGAAAGATCTCCCCTGACTGATTTTTTTTGTAAAGTACAGCCGAAATCTGATCATCAATTATTTTTTGTTAGCTTGTATCTTTTTTTCTTCATGCACATTACAAATAAAAAGTCAGAAGGGAGTTAATAATAATCTCGGTTCTATATGAGAGAAGAAATATGTTCTCTTCTAAACGAGATGCATTTGCAACAGCAATCACCCGGCTGGCAATTTTCTAAATACGTTATAATTGTTTGTTGAAGAAAGCGGTGTTTGTTTTTCCCGAGTTGAAATTTTTACTGATAATGTGTCGTGATGGAATTCGATCGATTTATTTTGAAGTCAGCGCTTGAAGAAAACTTGATGAAGTTCGGATTTCTTGTTTAATATTCAGATGTTGAAATGTTGGATCTGTCACTCGGCCTAAACATGATACATGCGATACTGCTGGCCCGGCCCCATCCACTGCAATTTTCAATCGCCGTAATGATAAAATGACCCATACTTCACTCGGCATGCCAGTGACGTCATACTGCCAGCCTGACCCCGCCTTGACCTCGATAAAGTCACATCCAGCGAGGTCGACAGACGTAAGATGACGCAAATATTCCGCGGCAACGTGATAAACAGCTCGCTTGACGCTTGGCGTATATCCAAGAAAGAAGAAAAAAATATATGATGCAAATGTCACTTCGAAATGATAGGATATCCCGCCGGCTTAAGGTCGCGTTATCCAAATTGTACGTCACACTCTCATTTTAAACAAATCTCCGATGTCCTGGTTACACAGACATACGGTTAAATACGCAGGATCACATTGCATTTTTGCAGGCAATATTGAGGCATATTTTTGTTTTATGGCAGGTCGAGTCTAAGCCGTGGTATATAAGATTCCCCCAGTTAATGTCAGCGTCACATCGGGGGCCGATCCGTCAGCGGAGGACCGAGCTCACCGCTGGGTTGGCGAACCCAAGTTATTTGGCGTAATTAGGCTCAAGGGGAGGCCGGGAGAATAGTTCCCCTCCGACACGGCTTCTACAGACACCAGAACGACGCCAACAAACCCACCCGTGTATCGCTGATGACAGGACTCATCCGTTCGTTATGCGTGAGGCAACAATTGCGCCCAGGATCAGATGACTGGTTAATAATAGCTTGGGTGACATTTTAGGCGCGTTGGAGTTCACTTGCTTTCTACCGTAGATAGCAGACCACGCGCCAGCTATTATACGCGACGCCAATGGTTCTCTTGCAAAGCACTGCGTGGGATTAGATTTCCCACTACGACGACGCCATCGTGCAGCGAGGTAACTTGGGATTCATTGTTTGCTAAATTCGAGTTTCCAAGAAAATTTCGGCAAAATTGGGTAGATGGGATTTTTGTGATTCACACTTCTTGTTTAATAAAACAAAATAAAAAGAAAGGGTTACGCTATAGAAACCTACGATTTCCTGTGTATATGACAAGAAACTATAGTTGTCAAGAAACAAAACTTCAGAATTAAGTTAAGTAAAAAGAGAAACTATTTCGACATAGAATAGGCTACTTGGAATTGATCATACATTTGGTCAATCCAATATGCCTGACCCTATTCTCCGAAATGGATTCTTTATTTTAACTACAACTCTCATCGAAAGAGTTTCGAAAGGCTACCAATAATTTTTTTAATCTCCTTAGAATTAAGAAGACGTCACCAAAGGGCGCAACGCCATGCCAGTTTCCATATGGAATCAATAAAATGAGTGAAATGAACACGTGTTGTCAATAAAAATCAGTTTTAATATCAAGTCCAAGAGCTAATCAAAGACACTTCTTGCATGACGTAGCTCATAGATTCAGCTCATTCTGTATCTGGAGATGCACGGTGGATTCGGGATGACTTCTGCATTGCACAGCACGGGGTAGAGGAACCACAGAGGCCATTATGGAACACAAGGGTCCAAATTTAGGAATTGAATCTACATTGCAACTTTCAGAGAAAGCATTTTCTGTACGTGCCTCTCCGCTGGGACAGATACTTAAACTTTTTTCAAGGTACCATCGGTATCAATCGATAAGTTCTTTTCTTGGTATTGCCCGTGTAAGCCTTGGATTGAAAAAAAAAGGAATTTACTACAACCAAAAGATAACCAAGTTTAAACTTGTCGGCCTATCTTGAATGTGTCTACACTGTGCCAAGCTATGCAGTCGTATACATCCACGCCGGTAAATCTCGCGGAGAACCCCAACACCAGTGACGCATTTTCGCTACACGGCTGTGACGCCACACGGAGCGCCCGGAATAGAAACGCCCGGTCGCTCCCCCGTGGCCTAAGGCCGGCCCTCCCGGGGCATGCCTCGCCGCTTACCGTGCTACGTCCCCGCCGGGGTTCTGGCTCCATTCTTGCCCTTTGACGAGGGGGAGAAAAGGCCGGCTATGACGGGACGATCAACTGACACATCCGCTCACCGAGCACGTATGCCATCTGGACCCCCACTCCAACTCCCCAACGCCAAACACCGCTGATCGCTTCTACCGGTGTGTAACTTTATAAATAACATCAGTTGCGGGTCCTGAAATATACGAGTTAATGATTACTACCAACTGCATGGAAATTTCCTCATTCTGGAGTACGTCGTTTGTCCGCGGTGATGTGGAGAAAAACAAATCATGAAGGAAAGTAAATTGCAGCACCAAGTCTACAGAAAATCGAGCTCTGAAATAAGTTGAAGCTTTAAAATACCTGTGATCAATTAAAATGTGATGATGCAATTTTTTGATGGTCAAACCAAGCTGTGCTTGGGTTGGAACTGTTTAAGGAAAAGACAAACCAGGGGATGTCATTCTCAGATCAGATATTGAGACTTTCTGTTGTTATATTTTACGACCTACGTAGCATTTATTGGTAATTCTTTTTTTCTCAGGAGTGAAGTACGATGCCGTTGTATCGGTCGATCAAAACTTTTCAGTTTACCTTTCCTAAAATTCTGTTCAAACAGTGGATGATGGATGTTTTGTGTATTAAAAGAATCAGCTTCGCACAGTGGGCTGTTAAATTTGGTCATCTTGAGTGAAAGTAACAAAAAAACGTGGTGAAAAATAATGGTGAATGGTTTCATCATCCACAATCGCCAAAATGTGTTCAACTTTTGCATAATTCGCAGCACGAGTACTTGAACTTGCCTTGAAGTCATAACATTGAGTAAGCGTTTGCACATTTGCGCCGAAAATGAACCAGTCTCTATACTATTGATGTTTTAATGTGTAACACTCCAAGTTGTTAAAAAGGTTTCCCTGTATGAAAAGACAGCAGCCAATCAAAATAAAGTATTCAACCCTTCCGCCAATCCAATTACGGCCAGTATTCGGAAGGACGTAATCCCATGCGGACTCAATCACATGGCGCACCGGTCTGGTGTCTCAGCTTTCGCCAAATGCAATTCACCTGCACGCTATGGGCGCCCGTGGGCTGTGTAAACTACGAACCGGCACTCCGTTTCGTATTGCTTTCACTGTTGTGTTTCTTTCCTGTTGCAGGGATATCTTAACCCGCCATCGGGCAAGCAGGGCTCACATCCTTCATATAGTCGTCAGTTAGCCAAGTGGGTTCTTCAGTAACTAGGCTGTCGGCATGGTGACAAGCGCTCACGTGACATGACACGATGAAGAGGTGGTGAGCGGACGGCAGTCACATCTACAGCGGGCCCGAAATCACCTTTGGACGGTGGGAAGCGCTGCAGCTTTCTTCGCTAAAAGGCCAGGTACGTCGAAATAATAATTAATTGGTTTTCTGGAGCATAAGTTTTTTATTTAATTAACACTCTGTTTTAATTTTAATTTTAATTAATATATTTGGGATTGCAGAATTATTCGCATTGCGATTATTGCTCATAGATAATGCTCAAAGATATATTTATCAATTAACGATAAATAATTTCTATATATATTAAAAGTTATATTCATTAAAAATTATGTTCATTTTGTAAGTTGGTACATGACAATCTGCTGTTAATTATATTCATTTTGTGGATTGGTACATGACAATCTTCTGTTACGGGACAAAGTGTTAGCTCAATTTTCCTCATTTTTTTAAAGGGAGATTCACTCAAACTGAAACAAGTATGACTTGGGAAATGGCCGTATTTATTTTCTACCTGATTCTGGTGCGGACGCTGACTGCGTCGCAGAGCACGCAGGACCTCGGCCCAATCGAGACCATCTCTACGGGTCGTATCATGGGCAAGCGGATGTCAGTCTTAGGCAAGACCGTGCATGCTTTCCTGGGGATACCGTACGCCGAGGCGCCCGCGGGGGAGCTGCGGTTCAGAAACCCCGTACCCCGGGTGCCCTGGCAGGACACTTTCAACGCCTCCTACTACGGCTTCGGGTGCTTTCAGGCACCCGATGAAAACTTCCCCGGGTTCGAAGGCTCGGAGATGTGGAACCCGAACGTGGAGCTGAACGAGGACTGCCTGAATCTCAACGTCTGGGTGCCCTACCCTCGTCCCGTGAACTCTCCAGTGTTGGTCTGGATTTACGGTGGGGGTTTCTTCGCCGGTGTGTCGTCCCTGGATGTGTATGATGGAAAGACGCTAGCGGCAGTAGAGGGCTTGGTGGTGGTATCAATGAATTTCCGGCTTGCCGCGTTGGGTTTTCTAGCCATGGACGATCCCTCCGCCCCGGGGAATCAAGCTCTTCGTGACCAGGCCCTCGCTCTTCAGTGGGTGCAGGATAACATCCACGTATTTGGAGGGGATCCGGATCAAGTCACGATATTTGGAGAGAGTTCGGGAGCCGCTAGTATCGCGTTCCACATGATCTCACCGGTAAGCAAGCACCTGTTCCAACGGGTGGGATTGCAGAGTGCATCGGCCGTAGCTCCGTGGGCGTACTACACAATGGAGGAAGGCAGGAGACGAGGGCTTACGCTGGCTGAGAAACTTAACTGCTTGGATGATCAGAGTGGTGAAGCACTGACCACACCCCAGATAGTGGACTGCATGAGGACCAGGGAAGTAGTGGACATTCTCAGATGGCAGTGGGTCACCCTTGACTTCGCTGATTTCCCGTTCGTTCCCGTGGTGGACGGTACCTTCGTACCGGAGCGCCCTCAGTCGGCGATGGAGAGGCGAGCTTTCAAGAACTGCGAAGTAATCGTAGGCAGCAACAAAAACGAAGGCATATTTTTCATGGTGTACGAAGTACCCGGTATCTCAAAGTTCTCCCAAAGCCATCTGAATCGAGAACAGTACATGGACGCCGTCGAATACTGCTTCCGAAAAGCGAACACGTTTGGAATCAATGCCATAGACTTTGAGTACACCCCTTGGTTGAGTCCGGACGACCCCGTGGCGTTGCGGGACGCCGTGGAGCAAGCCGTGGGGGACCATATCTTCGGTTGCCCTGCCTACGAACTGGCCATGGCCGCTGCCTCGGCCCAGAACCCCGTGTATTACTACCGGTTCACGGACCGGGCTTCAAACAATCCCTGGCCCGAGTGGATGGGGGTGCTGCACGGAGATGAGATCATGTACATCTTCGGTATTCCCCTCCACCCAGAGTTCGGTTACAACAGCGCTGAGGCCGAGCTCAGTCGGAAAATGATGAATTACTGGGCCAACTTTGCAAGAACGGGGTAAGAAGTTTTGAATTTTTTTTTCGCAATACACCTAGGCCTATAATGCACGTGCATTTTTGACAAAATTTACATCACACCCAGAGAATCTGACACTGTGGTTTTGAAAGCCAAACATATATGGGGAGATGGGGTACATACCTATGTTCCTCAATACCCTAACCCTAACCCCAACCCTAAGGATTTTGGGGAACATACCGGTAGGTATGGGGGTACATAGGTATTGGGGAACATCGGGTAGACCCTGGGGAGATGTACCAAAAACACTCCGATAATCGTAATTTTCACTCTAACACCAAAATAGTTCTTCAATTTTGTTTTTGAATTTAGGATGATTTTATGCTCTTTTCAGGGGCACACCAATTCAACAATCATTTAGGTTTCATTTGGACCAAACCCAAGTATCTCCTTAGATTGCCTTTTCGAGATGCTCGGCTTTAGTTTCCCCTAAAAGGCCATGCTAGCTGGAAAGGTTACAGACGTCACTTACTCAAGAGGTAACCGATGGTCGTTAGACTGTATTCAGAGAAACTGATGGCAGTTACCCTTGGTGACCTTTCCAAGTCCGCGGGGAAAAAAAGAAGGGCCGTTGAGACTCGGCTATCGATTGGCCAAGGTTATGCTTATAGCTGACAGCAGGGCGGGAAAACGCGGGAAAATATTGGCGCGCGCGCCAAAATCAATACCGCGTAGATCTAGATCTTTCTGTTAAGGTGGTGCGGGAATAGAGCGGTTAATAATGAGTTATGGCTGCAGGGGGAGGAAGCTAAAAGGTTAGATAATGTCTGGACGAGGGGGAAATGAGCCATTTTACACTGAGTGGTTCGGTATCAAATGGAGGTCACTGTATGCTCAGGGACCCCTGTGTAACAATGAACGGAGATACGTGTATTCTCGACATGTTGTAGTGATCATTCATGAGCCGGCCGTGTACCAGACTATCACGTGATAGAAACACTTATTTTTTCAAGAAGGCTGTCCATCTCAGGGCCCGGGAAAAGACCACTGGAGATTACGGCTATACCAAGAAGAAATAGGGGTGGAAACTCAATGATACATGCATACATGAAATATAACAACAAAAGACATTTCGACCAAACATACCCCGTTATACTGTCGGCCTATGTGGCTTTACGATAGAGGACAGATACACAAAGGGAGAACAAACGATCCTTTCAGTCCTCGAGAGCTGAGTCTTTTGTTCAAACGGTCCTGGATCGTACGGTTACGTGCTTAGTCTATGGAAGAGTGTTATATTACGGGGACAATGGGAAACACAAAGCATTGTCCTCCGGCGTATAGAAATTCACGACAGTGTGTGCACATTGCTGGTAAAGTAATGTACTCACTAGTCACTGACAAAAAAGGTTAAACAATACGAATTCTAATTCAAAGAACTAGTCAATTCATGGTACATAATAGATTGTTTGAAGACAATTCTGTGTTGAAGAAAGCCTTATAATTGTGATTATTCGTGATTAATCAATCACCTTTTGGCATTCTAGAAATCCAAATAAGGCGAAAGAGGACGACCCGGAAGGAGACTGGCCGCTCTACACCGTCGAGCGCCAGGAATTCTTCACGCTGAACAAGAGCATCGTCAGCGGTGACGTCTTCATCGGGCGTGGTCCACGGGCCAAGCAGTGTGCTTTCTGGAGGGACTACCTACCAACTCTCGTCACACAAACAGGTAAAGATGGCGGCATTGATCAAGCCCGCCCTCTCGTGGTTACCCTTTCGCTTTTATAAAGCCTGCCCTCCTGCGGTTACCCGACTATGACTTTACAAATACTTGTATAGCCTATACACCGCACCGGGGTAATTTAAAACTGGTGGTCTTGTAATAGATATCGCCAGTGTTATTTATTGCTTTATTATGTCATCGAGGAGTGTCGCTGCAAATGGTGAGGCAAATTTTTGAAACAGAAATGATCAAAATATTTGGACAAATAAAGCTCAGCAAGGTTTCTTGTCTTGTGTCAGCGGGGACGGTTTGGGTTAGGGGTGTTAGACTATGGGGGAAGGGGTAGGCGTGGCTTGGTAGACATTTGCACCCCGAACATTAACAACAATCACCCATTAAATGCATCTCTTTTTATGTCCCCCCTCTAAAAATAAAGGTGACATCAGCGAAGCAGAAAGAAAATGGAAGCAGCAATTCAACGACTGGAGCACGAAGTATATGGTGAACTGGAAGGCCGAGTTTGACAGCTACATCAATGGGAGACAGTGCGATGACCGCAATCACTGAATAAAGGCGGTGGTGGGGAAATCCAACCAATCAACGGTCGAGTCTGTGTCGTAATCGAGCCAATCACAAGTCAGATCGCAAGCCAGGTCACGAGTATACGCACAACAGGGGACAAGCACCGACAAAGGAGTGACTTTGTTACAGTTCGTAACTTTATTTGATAATAGATGGCTTGTAATTGGTTTATGATGACTTATGACGACTTGTGATTGACTTATGATGACTCAGTGTGTGGACTTGTGGTGACTTGTGATTGACTTGCGATGATCTGTGATAACTCAATTATCACTTTGGTTGACACAAGAATTCGCATGAAACCGAAACGACTTACATGTATCAGGTTCTCCGGGCCTCCATATTGAAACCTGGCTGAAAAAAGTGAACAATGTATTAATTAATTATTGTATCACCTCGATAACTTTAAAATGGCGGATCCCGTATTCTTTCAAGTGTAACACGGAAATTACAACTAGCATCTTTAACACTCGCTTACTCCTCAAAACTCCATGACGAAATTTCACAATAAACCTACTCCAATAATGTAATGCAACGAGAGAATGAGCACACAAAATTGGTGCGGTTTACCATGTCAAGTCAACATCTGATATAATCATAATGTCCACATTAAATAACGTATCTATACTTTTAACTTCAGCAGTCGTCCAGTCTTTGCACGTATATCCTTTGCACGCTTATATATTCATGTGTATCACGTTTATATAATGTTTGTGTTTCTGTGGATGTAACATTGATGGCAATTGTCTTTCTTTTGTACGTGTTGCAATTTTAAATTTTCACGAAAATATATGCTATCGTTCTGTAGAGTAGCCTAACAGTCAATTTTTTTCACACATTTTGTAAATTTTGTACAAAATGGTAGTATTGTATATGACAACTTATAACAGGTTATTGAATTTTACATTAAGTATTATAACTTCAAATTTTGATGTTTTAGAAGAAAGCAATAATGGTATTTGTGTCAAACTTTTTATCGTGTAAATATCGACGAAAGAGTGAAATCGGATTGTTTTGAAGATTTATTCTACAATATGTCCCAAAAAAGTGCCCGTCTGACTATTTTGGGGAATAACTATAAAACCATGAAGTCAATTTTGAATTTTTTTGTTTGTGCAGATACTCCTTATCTTTGGCCTAAATCCCTGTGAGTTTCATTTAATTTCAGTAATGCATCGCTACACAATTGTAAATTGATCACAACAACATTTTTGGACAATGTGACCAAGTTCCTTGCCTTAATGAATTTCAGTGCTGTGTTATGTAAGCAGTGTAAAATCCAGCATGTTGTGAAAAAAACTTTATGGTCTTGTAGTTATTTCAAAAACAGTCAGACGGACATTTTTTTGGGGACATGTTGTAGTGCGTTGGGTGGCAGTCGGTATGCCGAGGAAGAAAAAAAATAACCAAAAACGAGGATGCCACTGTTTGAATTTATCCTAAAAGGAGAAATAATTCTACAAAAATTAAAGGATTTACGGGTTGGATGACGGTCGGTAGGAAGTCAAATATAACCGAAACAAGTGACGGTACCGCCACTGATTATCCGAAAGGACAAATACTTCTACATTAAATAATTTACAAGAAATATTAATTGAAGTCAAAATGTGATAAAGAAAATATTCAAATTTGAAAGTTTAATACTCAAATTTGCAAATTAAATATTCAAGGGAATTTTGTTCAGTATGTACGAACGTAATTAGCACTGTGAGAAAATAATATGCAGTTAAAATTATGCCCCCAAAAAAAAAACACAATATTATCGTGAATTGAAGTCATGTATCTTATCAAAAATACAGTTAAATTTGTGAAATGTAAAATGACATTGTGTGTGAAAGCACCTTCAGTATCTAACTCTTTCCTTTCTGCGTACGCGTACTACCTTTAATTACTTCTGGGATAGACCTCAGATGTGGTAGAATTTACAATCAATAATCAATTTATTGCGTGTAATATAAATATGTAAATTAGATCTTGAAGTGATGAATATTTAATTATTCATGTAAAGTGCAGTGTGGATTGATTTTAGTGCGGTGTTTGTACATTTACACATTTCTCATATAAAAACAAATATTATAGTCGATTGTGAATGTTTTTGGTAATATTTTATACTGATATGTACAAACTTGATACTCGATTATTATACTGCATTATGTACTTAAGCAATAAGTGTACAAATGACGTATAGAACTGTTTACAGCAGTAGACGTTTCCACCCCTCTTTATTATTCAGCCACGCCCCTGGTGATGGTAGCTTGTATATCCTTGTACAGGAAACTGCCTTTAATCTTCTCAATGTAACTTAAACCATTCAATGAATGTCATAGTAAAATACAGATTGCAAAAATGGAGAAATTCACAGTCAGGAAACCGAAAGGTGTCGACGGAGGGCGCCCTGTTTAATTACTCAAATCCCATCCCAACTTAATGGTGTGCATGTGCACTAAAACACTATGAATCAATTTGCAGTCTTTCTCATGATATAGTAGCAGTTCTTTGCCTGACCAGTGTAGTTCTTCCTGAGGACATCATAGAAATAAATCACATTTCCAAAGTCCAAACAATTTTGGTTGGTGGTTGCTTTTAGCGGTGCAGACCAGTAAATCGGTCCGAAATTGCCTGCGCCGGCCAAATCGCGATTTGCATGCCCTCAAAATCTTCGGTATTTGAGCATGCTGTGGGCCATGAACTTGAGGGTTTGTAAAAACTATGGGTGGAAGCCGTGCACAGGACTGGGAGCTTGCAGTTCTGTGTAAATTGGATGTAATTTGGACCCTAAAAGCGCTCTATTTTGCAATGGAGTGTAGGCATCGTTTTTCAAAATGGCGATGGGCTTCAGGACTATTTTCAGGGGTGATCGTCTTCAGATTGAAATTTCTCCTAAAAGTCATCAGTTGACCCCCGTAAATTGAACAGAAAATGAAAAATGATGAAATAAGCTTTAATTTGATGTGTGTCTCGAACACCTTGGAGAGTTGTGAGTATTTTTCCCGAATTGTTGAAGTGGGAGCATTTACCATTGGGGTCTATGGAAGTTTATTTACTGGTCTGCTACCTTAGAGCAAAACATTTGTTGGAGTGAAAATTGCCGCTTGGTGGCAGCAGACCCATTTTATTAGAGCCATCTGAGTTTGCGCACAAGATACTATGTTTGAGGGACGCGGACGTAATAAATAAAAAATACTAACACATTTTCAGCTACGTCTTTAGCTAGATATGTGTAAACCTAAAAAATAAAACAAACGTCAATAAATAGGACAATTTATTTCCTTTTAAATGTTATCTAAGTAAACTTGATTTTTTTCTTTAGCTTCTGAGCTGAGTGGATGCATGTGTGCAATCTACAAGTACAAAATAACGTTAAGCAAAATAACTCGTTGATTAAGGGACGAGTGAAAACTCCCTATAAATCTTCAACAGAAAATCACGGGGAAACCCCATCCGGCCTCCGACTTTCTAAAATTGTCAATTCCATATATCAGTTTTATTCTAATCTCTATGTTTTGACTGGTAATTCTCATAAACAAAGCACACACACATATTACTGATTTAGAGTTTTTCGTAGTTCTGTTGGCTAAACCAACCAACCATTCAGTACTGAACTAGAAGCACGCCCTCACTGCCAGCAAGACCGCCAGGCCAATATCCCACCGAACTAATCGCATTGCGTGCCGTCTTTGTATTTTTTGAACTCGTCTTTCCAATCAGTGATGTCGTTACTCCACTCTGCGAATTGGTTCTTCCAATCGGTCTCTAGTTCGTCAAGTTCTCCTGAAAATAAAAGAAAAATAAGTAACAGGAAAGAAAATCAAAATCAGAAAGCTCATTCAGGACAAACCTTACTGGGACTTATAGCAACGAGGATTTGAAAGTTGGGCCCTATTAAACCACGTTCATGTAAAGAGAACACTCTGAATTGTCCCTTGTCACAGCGTTCGACAACTGTTTTGTGTTCCTTTGTGTGAGCGCCCTCTGTCGACCAAGTTGAAGACGTGTATTAAAGTTGCATCTCTTTTTGACCTCATTTTTTTCACAAAGCGAAAGGGAGCAAAAGAGATTCAAGTAGGTGAAGGAACACTCATTCACATAAAGAAATTGTAAATTCAAAGATGATAGCGCCCTCTTTCGGTCTACTTGAGGCAAGTCGATTTTAAGATTACAGAAACACTTTTTTTGATCTGACCTGTCTTTCTCTGAAGTGTTGGGTAGTAACTCTTCCAGAATGCACAATGCTGGCTGTCTGGCCCAATCATGACGTCGTAGGTGTCGTTCACGATCCTGGCATCAAGGAGAAGATACTGCTTCTGGTCGGTGGTGTACACGGGCCAGGGGCCATCGGGGTCATCAACGGCTGCCTTGTTGGGGTCACTGTTCGGGAAAAACGAAAGACATGTGAACGCTCGGTGGCAGCAGACTGATATACCGATGACGTCACTCAAGCCTGTGCATGCGACACGCCGCCATGTTGTTGCAACAATTAAGGGTAACATTGAGAAAAAAACGGGGAATTGCTTTGGAGAAGATACTTTCTTCTAAAATGCGAAGATACCGGGCACGATAATGTTTATGGAAATGTAATCATGGAATCCATGAATCCGAAAAAGGCTGTTTCGATGGCCGTTGAAAGAATTTTACTGGTTAATAGAGGATTTACATACATTGCATGGAAGAATGCATATTAAATAGACATTAAATGAAATTAAATTAAGGTTAATTAAATGTACTGCAATTGTTTTATGATCATTGGTTTCCTGACAATCAGAATGTTCGTTATTTTTTATTACTTCCACGTGGCAGGCGAAATCTTCAACAGATTTTGGATGAGATCTCCAATATTGCCATGGATCAGTGGTTTAGACGGAATGTCATGGTCTAATGGTTACGGTGTCTGACTCATATAGGATGGTGCGTGGGTTTGAACCCTGCCAGGATCAGGAACATGGTGTTTGTGCCTTGGCAAGACACTTGCCTCTCTCCACCCAGGAGTATGAATGGGTACCTGTGAAGGTAGAGGACAAAATGTACATGCAGGTATCGGCTGCCTCGTGGTCGTCTGATGAACGGGGGAATAATTGTAAGTCGCTTTGAGATTGTTCATACAATGGAAAACGCTCCATAAACCCTTGCAATTTATTTTAATTTTACAATCCATTTACAATAACGAAAATCCCACAATAAATAACTGCTTGGTGTATTGTACCATGCAAGGGTCAACTAAATGGTAATATTACTGAACCCAAAGATCAGTGGCGTGTTTCTCAATACTAAGCCACGGTGAAAAAAAAATATCGTAACAAAAAGCTCTGCTCTGAATGAAATTTTATCTTGGGCAAATAATTTCACAATAGTGACAATCTACTGTCAATCTTAACAAAGTGAAGTGCCCTGATAAATATTATTGTGTCAATATTACGCCGTAGTTCAACTGAGGCCAATTACAAACGGAGACATAATTTTGAGGAACTTGATCAGAAATACAGAAACAAGTCTTTGACTTATAGGCAACAATGATGACCTTCAAAGTCTAAAATTGAAATTTGAGTTGTTAGTGTATGAAGTGGTCATTATTTAAATGCAAGGTATTAAAATAAGGATGTCCGATTTTAATATGACAAGTATTTTTTTAAATTCCAACCTTTAATTTTGTTTAATCATGTCACATATGAAGTATATGTCATTATGAAGTTGTAATACAACGCAGGCAAATAGAAGGTTTTTTCCCCCACCAAGTTGGTAAACAACACACACTTTGTCTTTTAGATTTAAACATTATACATTAGACTCAGACCACATTGACCACAGTGTTTAGTCAACTTACCCTGTTTTGGCAAAGTTGGCCCAGTGGTTCAGCATCATTCGGCTGAATTCCTTCTCCTCGTCGGTGTAACCCACAACCGTTGGGTCGAGCGGACGGCCGAAGATGTAGTTATTCTCGTCTCCGTGTACCACTCCCATCCATGGTGCCCAAAAGCTGATGGATGGCCTCTGGCCAAACTGGTAGAAATACACGGCCTGGTCGACGGCGGCGCAGCCGAGGGCGAAGGTGGTACCTGGGCACTTGAAGATCACATCCGTCATAGTCAGCACGGTGGCGTCCCGCAGTCCCGCCCCGGCACCGTTGGCGGGTTCCTCCCACGGAGTGTACTCAAACTCGATGGCATCTACGCCGAACGGATTGGCGTCTGGGAAAAGAAACTTGATGCTGGAGACGAAGTTGGCAGGCGTCATCCCCGTGTCGTTGAAACCGTCGGCGCGATTCACGAAGAACGCAGCTTCGTTCCTGTTGGAACCTATGAGTACCGAACATTTCTTGATGTTGCCGGTCCTGATGGATACCATCGGGTCTTCCGTGATGTAAGTCCCGTCAATCACTGGCTTCCACGGAGTGTTGAAAGCACCAGCCGGAATCTCTTGATTATCCAGAATGGTCCTGATTTCAACAAGACTGATACATGTGAGAACTTCTTCAGGGGTCAGCATCTCACCGTCGTTGTTCACGTCGCAGGCGAGTTTCTTGGCCAGGGCGTTTGCGAACCCGATCCCACCTTCCATGGTGCCGTAGTCCCAGCTAGCTAATGCCGAGCCACCCTGAAGGGCTGCCTGCTTAAACAACTCCCTGCTCGTCGGTGCCATCATGTGTATCCCAACGTCGCTAGCGCCGTTACTCTGCCCGAATATGGTAACCTGGTCTGGATCGCCTCCCACCGCCGCGATGTTGTCTTGCACCCACTGTAGGGCCAGGGCCTGGTCCATGAGACCCACGTTACCCGGAGCTGTCTCAGGACCCAAAGCCAAGAACCCCATCGCACCCAATCGGTAGTTCATGGACACAACGATCACCCCCGCCTCCGCTGCAAAGATCTTGCCGTTGGTGTCATCAGTAGACGCCGTACCCCTGCTGTAACCTCCGCCATGGATCCAGACTAAGACAGGTGTGCCAGCCTGCGACGGGGAGGGCGCCCACACATTCAAGAACAGACAATCTTCTTGACCATCCAAGGCTGGTGGATCTGGTGGCATTGCCATGCCTAGCTGGGCGCAGCTGCTCCCAAACACTTTGGCGTCCATGACAGCACTCCAAGTCGCCTTGGCTGTCGGGGCTTTAAAGCGGCGTGCTCCCACGGGAGCCTCTGCGTACGGAATGCCAAGAAAGGCATCCACCTTTTTACCCAAAACGTCCAACTTGTAGCCCTCCACCCGGCCTGCTGTGAAAGTAACCTGAACCGTTTCCTGTGACGTCACCGGGGAAACTAAGCCGACCAAGACGGCTAGAGCAATAGCCGACCGCAACATGTTTGACGATTAGTAATTCTATCAAAAAATCAAAGAAATAAAACAAAATTAGAGTGGCCTAATATTTCAGTCTTAGGAAGGACTTCTTCAGAGGCCTTGCAAAGGATGAAATCAATTTTTTGATTTGTTTATTTCAGGTCCATCCAGTCTGTGAGCAGTTTTGCAGGGTCATTATCAGCCTGTCGAAACAAAGTGTTTAATACCGACCAAGCACATATTTATTCCTATTTGCAACCCTCAAAGAATATGGGGACCATCAGTATCCCCTTTGTATAGACACTATTCATTCTCGTAAACAATATTACAATTGCGATGTTGTATCCCAATCACGGCACAAGAGCGTTCAAGAAATAAAAAGAAAGAAAACAAAGAAGCAATTTAGACGAATAGCGAGCCAATGAATTCGTAATTTTGAAAATGCTGTTCAGGTTTTTTTTAGCATTAGGATAGGCTCTCAGTTCAATATACCGGTGCACACTTTTGAGCACGTATTGAAACCTTTAAAATAATCAGTCCACTTACCAAAAATGAGGTAGATGTGTATTGCGACTTCTCGTTTCAACTTCTTACCCTCAAATGACCAAGACCTCGGGAAATTAAGGGTTTAAACAACCATACGGCTTTTCTATGGGTGCATGGTGGTACCAGTCACGTGACTCAGATAGTAGCCAAAGTCTACGGGTGTGGGGCGTCAAAGTAAACAGTGACCGTTTTCACATCGGTTCGAATAAACAAGGTCAAATTTTCCCAAAAGGGAACAAAGGCCGAATTCGGTGATCGGTGCGTTGGAGAGATGTCGCACTTTTTTGAGAAACAAAATCGGCTACAATTGTAAAGGTAGTCCATGCAAACGAAACATGCATGACAGATATTTTGTAGCACTTTAAGTAAATCCGATGCGTGGTGGGGTATAATTTAAGTATTTTTCTTTAGACCGTGTGTATTTTCGTGAAGGTGCTATAAATGTATGGAACCCTTTTAAACACAAAATCAGCAATAAAGTGAACGTGTTTGGGGCATTTTTTTGTCGAATGTTGGTAGCACTAGACCATTGAGACCCATGCAGACAATGATTTCACTGCAGAACGTCGACAATTATTGTTGTTCGCCAGGGGTAACTTTTTGTTACACTACAAAAAGTCCCTTAGATTAACCCGGAATCTTGGTTGTATTTGGCCTAATACTTTTCTGGGTCGAAACTGACACTTGTTCCAAGTCAAAAATGACTGCACCAATTCCAGTTATAGTAATAACAATATAAGGTTCTTATATATAAGCGCACATATCCTAAACAAAGCTGGATCAAGGTGCTTGGCAAAAAAGTCCAAAGTATTATTTAATGAGCTCTGAATAGTTGTCTTAAAAAGTTTCCAAAATGTCACTGAGTCAGACTGGCGGATTTCTTAACAAAAGCTTGTTCCGCAGATGGGGGCCAAAATAACCAAAAGGCACCCTGGCCGATCGATTTGGTACAGATGGGTGTGGTAAGTGTTGTTGAGTCTTGTAGTTTACGGAGTCGGAAACAGTAGCAAACGTTTCATTTTGAAACCAGAAATGTGCCAATTGTGATCCTGATAGGTATTAGGGCAAAAAAACACAAAAAAACCCATGATTTGAGGTAAAATGTGACCCATGGCTTATTAAGGTGTACCATAGGATACAGAGCGGTATACATGTCTTTTATGAACGGCTCTTCAGAGTTTCGCCCTTTGAAACCAGAGGCTGTATTAAAGATCCTATCACAAGCCAACCTTTATCCACTAAAGGTGTTACCATTCAATATGTGTTACCATTCAGCACTCCAGACCCGAGAACCATTGAGTTACAAGAAAATGGGTCTGGGATCTAGATACGCCAATGTAAAAATACAATCCCCGGATGTCCGTGCCCGCCTATGATGTATAAGGCCGTGAGCCGCATCCGAATTACTTGGCTACGACTTGAAATTACAAAAGGGTCTATGGGAAGTGGCTGTGGCTACTTCCAATTGGCGCGTGTGTAAATTCTAGCCTTAGCCAATTCGGCCTTATTACAACTAATCTGCGTGCGGGACTTGTGCGCAAGTGGGCGTGGTATACTGGAATACTCACAAGGAGTCAGCACAGTGGGGCGCATGACCTGGCCTTCATCAACCGGTGATGGGCGGGGCTAATGCCAAAAATCTGCTCACAAGGTGTCTGCGCATCTTATAGTCAACTCCTTTCCTCGTGACCACACTAAAATGACTGCATCTTAATTGATGCAGTTTCGTAGATAGCAGAAACCAACATGCATTCATGTTTGGCACAAGCATGTGCTAAATGTGTGACGTCACTGGAAATCCCCGCACAACTATACATCCATTTTCGACTTTTTGTTTCTTGACAGTGATAGGCGGATACCTGCTCAATTGACATTATGCGCACCCTCTCGAAGCAAATTAATCGTAATTCCTTATCTACATTCCTGGGCGTGCATGCATGCAACACAATTTGTGGGAAGAATCGCACGTGCTGATTTGCTGACTTCACACAAATTATCGATCTGTAGATAAATGACCTGGGCCAATTTCGAATCAAGTATGAAATCGAGAAGAAAAATGCTATAAATTGAGTCCGTTGTTGTGACTGAAATAACAGTCTCCGTCTAGACCCGATCGAGAAAACCTCAACGGCAGTATCTCAGGTAAGTATTATTACTTCATTAACCCTCGAATTACTTAAAACTGTATCAGTTATGAGTGATCAACCAGACGCTTGACTTATCCACAAGAACCATACAGGTGAACCATTGCCGAACCACGAGCAACGATTTCTTATTTTTCTTCCTCATCAAGAAACGACGACACCTGGTCAAGATGGCATCTCTACGATTCCTTAACATCATTTTGATAGTGCCGCTCATTTGTAAGTTGATAAACACAACATTTCATAAATGAATAAGATTTCAATTAAAAAAATATCAAACTTTCCGGCAGTAGGAGCTGGAAATTCGTAGTTTTACCTGCCAGGTGTTTTATGTGTTACTTCGTGTTCTTGTTTTAAGCCCATAATTTGAAATGGTTGAAGGACGGGGGAAAAGGCAGTTGAGCATGGTGTCTGTTGGAAGATTTACCAGCCGAATAATACATAGTAAATTTGGAATATTATATTAAGTTTTACACGAGGAAATTATTTGAACTGAATTGTTTAATCCAGACAGGCCGATTGTCTTTACTCTCAAAATTTTATTAGGTTTTTTATTCATCTGAAAATCTCTCTCTTTACTTAAAAAAATTTCAACAGCCACTAGACTTCAGTTTCACAGTCAACTCTCCAAGTCATTGAAATAATTTTTTATCACGCCAAGTATATTTTTGACGAGAAATACAGTAATACCTAGCAATTATTGTCCATGGCCTAAGATGATGGTCAGAACAAGTGACCTTTCATCGATTTTATCGGTCATTTTGCGATATTAGTCACTACAGTTTACGATAGTCGGACCAAAGTGCTACTGGTGTGAGTGACGTACGATAAGTCATATTGATTGCAATTAGTAGTTGAACATTATATATTTAAGGAGATAAATGGAAATTAATGATAACTGCTTGATAAGGAAACCTGTGAGTCTACTTCAGCAGAAGAAAGATCGGCAGAAACCCGGTAATACAAAAGCGATATATTGCGACACCCTTCATAACCGCTTTCACTGTGGACAAGTGGAGAGTTTTTTTTAGTATGATGGGCTCCGTGCACAAGTACCAATGCAACGGCCACAAAAAGGGAGTAGGGGGAGACTGGTTCCCGGTCTATCCACTTATTTTGAATGATCCAAAGTTATTGGGGACGGGGATTAGTCTGGGAGACCATCGCAAGTCGCTGTGGCTATATCTTTGGCATATCCGGTTCGTTAGTGTGACGTCACCTCCAACACTTTCTGCACGATTGAAACCGGAAGCTAACGCAGTTCGAGCGTTTGCAGCCAATGGGCGCTTGTAATCAATGGTGGGCGCGCGTGAATGATGTTTTTACTAACGAACCGGATTCAGGAAGTCGTGCGTACTTCGCGCGCGAACCAGTACATTACGCACACGCTGGGTGTTCCGTCCACGGGGCTCCTTAAAATTGGTAAAATAGACCGCTTGCAGATGCGTTCGATAATCGACGCGCGAAGGCGCGCGACGCCATGTTGTGGGACAAGCGTATATCTATCCATGCACATTTTGTCCCAGAACATAGCGTCGCGCACCTTCGTGCGTCAATTATCAATCGCGTCTGCAAGCGGTCTATACGCCCTCTTTGTTGGCGCACGGAGCCCATGACGTGTGTGAGAGCGGTGCGAATGAAAGTGCCACTTATCGGACATACGTCACGCGAAAGCCGTTAAGCCGTAGGGCACTCCAACGTTATCTTGAACGGCGCGCAATAAACGGCTGATAACGGCTAGGGAGAAATGAATGATCATAAAAAAATATTATTGAAAGGCTCGTGAAAGATTCAAAGAAAGTGGTTAGCAAAGAGAAAGCTATCAATATAAAGTCGATACACCAGAGGCGACAACCCACTTGACCTCGTCTGATTGACATTCGATAGCTGTTTGCCGATGAAGTTCAAGAAGTGATTGTCAAAGATTTGAGAAGGATGTAATCTTGATTGACACATTAATATTGATTGATAAACAAACAGGTGTTTCCCAGCTAGCACTAAACATTTGCCAATATTGCTTTAAGGTTGGCGCAAATTGGCAAATATTGGGCCGATAATCCAATATTGGTCACCAATGTTCAGCCAATGCTATAATGCCAATATTGCCATATTGTTGCCAATATAGGACACATTTTGTGCCAATGCGCAAAACGTACGTAGATCAATATTGGTTAATATTGACTGAACTTTGTTGAGGGACTGCCACAAATGTTTAGCCAATGCTATGCCAATATTACCATGTTTGACGGGACCGATCTTTTTCCAATGAGCGCACGTATACGTGAGGCCAAAATAGGGTAATATTGGGCCAATATTGCCCAACTTCTGCCCAATATTTGGCTTCCAAGATTGGCAGAATGTTTTATTTGCCAAGATAAGCCCAATCTTGACCCTAAGGTGTCTGTGCTGGCTGGGGTATCACCAAGCCGAGAGCTGGTTATCCGGGCTTGACACTTGAGCAGATGTAAATGTCGGAGCGGTCTTTCGATTATTCCAATCTGAATTTTTGAAATGTGCAAGTGTCTGCACGGCCCGCTCCAAAGCTGTATATCATATTGGTGACATCACCGAGTGTGTGTATACCCAAGCAAGAAAAAAGGTCATGAATTCGGCACAGGCTTTTACAGATCATATCAATTTTGCGGTCTTTTGAAGTCTTTTTTTTATAACAAAAGTGGCAATTTTAAAGTATTTTCTCTCCGTAGATGCCGCTGAATTCACTTACGATGACGGCTCTCATGGTGAGTCAACAAACGTCTTTGTCATTAAAACCTGTGTAGTTAGGCATTTTCTGACTTTGACCATGAGTTTGTACACTTTATTTTTTATGATTTTTATCTCTATAATATTTTAGCATTCAACCACAATTTTTAAGGGAAGTAACCGAAGGAGAGACGCCGCCTTTAGCCTTATAGTATATTATAGAGTATTATGTGGGGGGGGGGGGGGGGGGGTGCGTACCGGATTCGGTTCGAGCTAGCCCAGGTTTGACTCCGTTGTAACGCAATGAAGACGTCGTCCAACCTGGGCTAGGTTCGAGCAGTAGTCACCAGAGGTAGAAGGGCACAAATATAACCACTTTGCCGTACTGATAATCTTGACTGTTGGGTCTAGGTTTAATAACAAATCATTCGGATATTCACCGAACTTAGACCCTGCAATTGTTAAAGAAACCACTACTGGTTTAAGAAGTCCGAATGCTGAAGTTATATTTAAAAAAGTACTATGTCTTATTTTTACACAGGACCAGCCCACTGGCCTAGCCTTTTCCCCCAAGAATGCGCGGGTAGTCTGCAGTCACCTATCAATCTCGAGATGAGCCAGGCTACGGACAGCGATCTGGGCAATCTCGAGTTGGATACGTTTTTCTATCCTTCTGCAGACCCGGCTGGGACGGTAGTCAACAACGGTCATTCCGGTGCGTTACCTAAAACAGAGGGTGTGGGTTCAGTCATTATCTATCAGAAGCTGTTTCCCTGAGATATTTTGGTAATCTGTGATGAAATAGTCTTTGTCGTGATTTAAGGTAGACATTTGTTGGGCTCTGGCTATTGAACTCAGGTGTCCAGTTCATCTATTGAACTCTTCCGAGAAACGGTGCTTTAACAGGGACGCTGCAAGTTAAAAACGATTCAAAAGGGAAGAAAGTAAATGTGGCTCAAAATGGATTTTATTTTAATGGATGCCTCACTTAATGTACACCTTTACCAAGGGACACCTTTTGTTTCCAGTGTCAAAACTACATTAATCCTTGGGCAAGTGTGGGCTGCTGGGTCAGATAATGAACGTAAAATTTGCACTAAGATGAACAGAGGGCATTTAAAGGGATAGCTGTGAAGTTTTCAAGTAAATATTCTCCATCGGGAGGGTTTGTTTTTACCACACCAGGGAACGTATGAGGGGCATTTATGGACCACGGTGTACCCCATCTCCATCTCATCTCCATTGGTTAAGTCAGCAAAATATCCTGTCGGATATATCAACGCTAACTTGTACGACAATTTACTGCCTTTAAAGTTTTAGCTTTAAAGTCTTATGGTGTAATCAGTTCTTTAAAGCCACGACTTTTATTATCACCGCAGTGCAAATTAACTTCAACCAAGACTTTGTCATCAGTGGGGGCGGGCTTCCTGGAACGCAGTACAAGGTGGCCCAGCTTCACTACCACTTTGGTAGTACCTACGGACAAGGGTCGGAGCACGCCCTCGACGGCAGGCATTACGAAGCCGAGGTAGGAAATGTGAACACACGTTACCTTTGATCTTAGCAATGGCCACTCATTTATAGCATTACGCATACCCATTATTCACCAAACAGTATTCATTTTAAAGAAAGCTTGAATAATACCGTTGAATATAACTTCATGATCGTTGTTTTATTTTTAATTTATGCTAACGTGTTGCATTTGTATTGGTGTTTAAGAGTTTCACATAAGAATGCATGTGCCTCATAAGCCCGACATTCGATTCACACGTTGCTTTTGTTGCTTCAATGTAGATGCACCTGGTGACGTACGACACCCAGTATCCATCCTTTGCCGAAGCTGTAAAGCACAAAGACGGGTTAGCAGTTTTTGGAGGAATGATCGAGGTACTTTCTCGTGTAAAAAACCTGTTCAACAAGACTGCAAAGCTTCATTTCTTTTCATGTCACTTTGTTTTTTTATATGGTATTGCCGCCAGTTGAGGCGCTTTGGCGATTATCAAAAATATATATTTTTTTACGGAATACTGCTCTCCAATTGCAGTAATTAAGTAAAGGTTTTTGCATCATTTTCGTTGGTCGAAGGCTTTGGTAAAAGGGGAAAAATGAAGCCACTTGGACTGGTTTGAGTTTTATTTTGGATTTGCTAAAGTTGTTAACGATGTGTTAATCTACAACACGTTCCCAGATGAGGAAGTCATTATTTGTGTTATCAAAGTCGAGGCCTGGTCAGGATGACAAATCACTGTATCGAAAGCTCTCATTAGACAAGTGACATGGAACTGCAGGTACTTGGTAACCTCCAAGTTAACTTGGACAATCCCCCTTATGAAGGTAATTGTAAAAACGTTTTCCAATGCATCTGTTTCTTGAAGGTTGGGTTGTTCGACAACGCCCTATACGAAGACTTCCTGAGTGATGTAGAAGACATCGAGTACAAAGGTAAGTCAGGAAAATCATTTGTCTTGGGCATTTTGTAAAAAAAAACAATGTATTACTGACAAATTTGAACTGAGGGTTCGGAGTAAAAATACCTGCCAGGCTGTGTCAGATTTTGGTGTCATTTTACACGTATGGTAAATAAACATTATAAGGTGTTGGTTTACACATTTACGGCGCAGTTGTAAGATCGCGGAGTGAAACATGGATCAACCTGTTTGCTGCCACCAAGCGACAAGAAGCCTGCACTTGTAAGGGGTTAGGGTTATGAATTATGAATATTAATGTTGCTAGGGGATTCCGCGTTCTCTCTACTCGGTTGCCAAACGTTTGGGTTTCTACAGTCTTGGCTTAAGCAGTTTTGGGCACAAGCAGTGTAAACGCAGATCGACCTTTTTGCTGCTACAAAGCGACCATTAGCATGCTAGTCTTAGATCATGAATATTCATGTCTGTTTATACAGGGGATTCTAGCGACTTCTCTCTGCCCTGCTGCTTGGTGGATCTGCTGCCTAAGGATTTTGGTGATTTCTACCGCTACCGTGGCTCACTGACCACGCCTCACTGCAACGAGGTGGTCATCTGGACCGTGTGGAGGACACCTGTGCGACTGTCTGCAGGGCAGGTATATGATCTGAGAAGTAGTGATGTATTACCTAACATGGAAGTGTAATAAACGTTGTCACTGTTATTTTTGTGATTTTTATTGTCATCACTGTCACCTTCGTTGTCATTATAATCCCTGTCACTTTCACTGTCATCGTTGTCACCTTCGTTGTCACTGTAATCGATGTTACCCTTCCTGTAATCATTGTCACATTCGGAGTTACTGTGATCGTTTTCAACTTCGTTGCCATTGTAATCGTTGTCACCTTCATTGTCACCTTCGTTGTCACTGTTATCGTTGTTAACTTTATTGTCATCATTCTCAACTTCGTTGTGATTGTGATCGTTGTCACCTTCATTGTTATCATCCCCATCCCCACCTTCATTGTCATCACCGTCACATTCGTTGTCACTGTCGTCATCGTAACCTTCTTCGTCATTGTTTTCATTGCCACCTTCATCGTGTATTACAGCAGTATCTTCATTCCGTTACCTTCGTCATGCATTATCTTCATTTAAAGCAGTGGTATGAGCAAAGTTACCGTAGTAGCAGTTTCAATACCAGATCCAATATAGATTTACTGCAATGCAAATAGTGCCAACGTAGAAGCGTAAAAGACTTTACTTTTTTCAAATTGTAAAGGCTTTTACGCGTCGAAATGTGAAGGTACGAGTGGTACCCGATCACTGAGCACCGTCTCTTTTTTGACACAGCTTGGGGTGTTCCGGAGCCTGTACCACACTGACGAGAATGCTGTGACCGAGGAACCACTGGCGAATAACTACCGCCCTCTGCAGCCGGTCAATGGACGTGACATCCAGTACAATGGCGAGCATAACTATCGCTGGGTGCTGGACTTCGAGCATTCTCTGTTGCCGCCTCCTCCAATCGATGACTAGAGTTGGCATTCCGTCTGAGTTTTCGCAGTTTCACAAGTGAAGTTCTTTGAGCAAAGACCTTTTAACGTGATAATTGAGCAAGGGCACTGTTATTTAATGCAGATTGAAGTTTAAAACCGAATTTAATTGATTTTAACGTAATTTAATAATCGCCGATCATTGGAGTCAATTATTATTGAATATGATGGTATATTAATTAACATATCTATTAGTCGTCTTGTGTTTGGGTATAATTAAATTAGCATTCTTTTGGTCAGTTGTCCTGAGAAAATAAAATATAAATCAGTGAAGATCGGTGAGTACTGCGCATGCGTCAGCAAGGACAGCGCCATATTGGTTAGAATCAACTATACCGTCATCCATTAAGCAAACCAACTTTACCTATCACTTTGAATCACCATAATTGTTTAATTTCTGTGAAACACTGAGCAAAGCTTCATCTTGAAATAAAATACGATTTATTGGAGAGCCATTTATTGGAGAGACCATTTCCGCTTTGTGGCAGCAGACAAATTGTATGTTATTAGCCATCCGAGTTTGCGCACAAGATACTATGCTTGAAGGAAGTGATAAAGTAAAAGTAGTAGCGGATTTCCAGCTACGTCTTCAGCTAACGGTATAACAACCCAAACTCAAAACAAACGTCAATAAACAGCATAAACATATCTTTTTAAAGTTGTCTAGATTTTCTGCGACAATGGTTTAAACATAGCTCAAAATAACATAAAGCAAAAACAACTCGTAAATCAAGGGACGAGGAAAACCTCAGAAAACCTCAAGGAGACAAACACGCGGAGCTCCTTTGCGACATCCATATATCAAAATCATCAACTCTGTATATCAGTAGGGACAGCAGAAAGTCCCCATAACTCGGGTTCGGTTTGCCTATCAATAAAAATAAACTTCCCAGTATCGCGGTGACGGCCCACCCGCGTGCACACATACCCCCATCTTGTCTTAGAGTATTACGTTTTATTAACCAACCAACCATTCAGTACATAACAGTTCTATAGAAATACGCTGTCACTGTCAGGAAGCCAGCCAGTCTAACTGACAACATATGGTGCTTTTCTTGGCCATACAGACGGATATTTTTTTTAAAAGGCAACCATAACGGTTGATGGCACGACAAAGGACACGATGTTTTTTTTAAAGGGCACTTGTTAACAAAAGAAGGGTACACCTTACAAATATTGGGGGGTAAGTGCTAGGAAAAAAATGTCATTTCAATGTAAAAGGGCAGTCTTTACAAAATATTAGGGGCACTGCACTAGTAATAAAACAATTTCTCGGTATTAGTGTTGAGGCCTTAGCCTGTGACAATAGCTTTCGTGGCGGTATCTGCTTTGACACAGACGTGCCGTTAGCTTTCGACTATTAATAGAGTGAAATCGCGCTTGTTTGTGATTCAGCAAACAGTCTTCGTCCGGGACCGCTCGGGAAAGCCTTCTGCAAGGCAGCATTACAGGTAGCTTTCATTTCTTCATAATTAATTGCCCATTATCTCCGCTATAAAGCACCAAAGGCGCATGTGTATGCAGGGAGGTGCGTATAGCAAGGTAATTTTTATTGAGGGGTGGGGGCGGGTACTCTCTAAATTCCAAAGGGTGAAATTAGGGACTAGACGTTTTAGAGTGAAAATCACTCTCAGTTTCGATTGGAAAAGTCTGAAAAAAAAAAGAACCACTTCAGTCGAAGCTCGAGTCAAAACTCGATCTTTATACGATTGAAGAAATTTCACTTTAAAACGTCTAGTCCCTAGTTTCCGACTGTGGGAGTGAATCTTCACTGGAATGGAGTGAGTTTTCACCTTTGGAATTTACAGAGTAAACATTTCTGGAAAAGGGCACTCGCACGTATTCATGCTGAAATGTAGACACCTTTTTCTCCGGACACTTTGCCTTCGTAATATCAAAAATTCACATGCTTTTGTTGTGTTCATTTAAGCTCAAACCTCTGTGTGGGCCCGTTTCCGGGCGACAATCCCCGTAAAATTGCCACTTTTTTCGACGTTTCCAATCATAGATTGATAACCATGCGGTCTTTTTCAATGGGTTAAACGGTTCTATACAATTTAACTCTTCGTCCTTCTCATGATATATATTATATTTTTTTTATCTTGAACAAAATCCACGTACTTTCGGCTTTGAAAATGTGAAGTTTTCTTCAGGAGTTAACCGTCTGTCGATTGGGATGCTGTCCAAAATCGACGATTATGCACACTAACAGACAAAACATGGTGCTTTTCAGGGAGATTCAGGCGCAAAATGAGAAAAAGGAAGTCGTAACGGCCTGCTGCACAAAAAAAAAGACATGCAATTTCTCGAAGCGAATCCTGTAGGCCTACTAGTGTCGTGGCCGGCCTTGACCTGTGACAATATAGCATTTATGGACGGGATCACGCATTCTGATTTGCTGACAATATAGACACACACGTGCTTTAGGCTTCCGACTAAAGAGCGAAATCGCGCTTGTTTGTGACTTAGTGAAGAGTTTTCGTCCAGGACCGGTCGGGAAAACCTTCTCCACTGCAGCATTGTAGGTAACTTTCACTTCTTCATAATTTGTTTTGCCCCTAATCACCGCTATAAAGCGCAAAAAGGTACACGTGTGTTGCAAAGATGTGTCCTAGCGTTTGTTTATGGTGTAAATCCAGGACACACACGTGCACCATCATCGACGAATCGAGGACAGGAACCAAATCGAACACGACCTCGATTAGAAAACGTGTACAAAACCAACGAGAGCTGTTGAAAAAAAGTTATTGTATAAACAAAGGAAAAAGGAAGAGGAACAATAGAACATCCTCGATTTACACCATAAACAAACGGTTGGGTTTTCACTCATTAATTGTACACGAGTTTTTGACTTTTTAAAGGGCCCATGCATTGTACTTTTTAATGCAATTCTTGAAAATTTGAAGGGCATTTTAGTGCCTTTTTGGTTTTTATGCTCATGCGAATTTCCATATTCATGAGCAAAACTGTGATGTCATTTCAGGCAGAAACCTCTGTTACAGCTATTTCAGCACTTGAAGTTGCCAGAATTTTGGAAAATTTTTGTGTCCAAACAAAAAGATTTCTGTATCCAATAAACAAAGGCAAATTCATATGAAGAGTAATTATTCAATGTACATGATGTAGAGTAAAAATGAGGCAAAATACATAGGGAAACATGAAACGCCAATCTTAACAAATTTTCTGAAATATGAATAATTTACCATTTAACTGCCAGAGAGTTAGTGACTGGTAGGTATTAGCCCATACGTAACAGCTATGCCACAGCAAAATGGTCACAGATGGCCTTACTGAAATAAAAGTATTAATGACACTTATAAATACGTGTGCGTGTGAACATTTGTTATTTTTCACAAGAACATTATCTACAGTTTACATTATACAGAAATAACAACATCTTAAATAACCAAACTTTGGGAGTTGAGGTTGTTTGGCATATACATCAATTAAATAGCCGCAATAATGCAATACTGATGGATGCACCAAATACAGGTACCGGCAGAACTTGACTAAAACAGAAGCTCCGACATTTGGGTTTCACTTTTTTTAATCACCATGTACATTGACTTCAGCAACCAGGTGTCAAACTTGTGAGTTATTGTACACATTATTATTTCAGGCAATACTTCTTACCGCAGGAAAATAAACTTTCCCGCGGAGCGAAACCTCACGTACTTAGTCACAGATGGTCGCAGATGGGATTACTGAAATAAAACTATTAATGACACTTATAAATACGTGTGCGAGTGAACATTTGTTATTTTTCACAAGAACATTATCTACAGTTTACATTATACAAAAATAACAACATCTTAAATAACCAAACTTTGGGAGTTGAGGTTGTTCAGCATATACATCAATTAGGATATTAAATAGCCGCAATAATGCAATATTGATGGAGGCACCACAAACAGTTACCAGCAATGTTCTTAGTGAAAATACTGAAATACCGTCACTAAAACATACAAAATTACATTAGCAAATTGGTTTTTTAAATTGACCTCACGGGAAGGTACTTCTGTGCGAAAAGGGGCCGTCAGAAGCCAGATACAGCTAGGCGAGGCTTCATAATTGTAGCAACTAGCAAAGTAAGGGCAACGGATGCAACAGCAGAAAAAGGTAATGTGGCTGAACTCAGGAACTGCAAAGAAGGAAGAAAGAACAGCGCTCTACGTCGATCCTTCTCTCGGGACGGCAAGTGCAGGAATGACTGTCTTGAATTTCGCGCTGCACCACGCCCTAACGCTCACCTAAGCACAGCCATTTCACTTGTTGGCCTTTCAGCAAAACGAAAACAAATAACATGATACGGATGTGTTTGAATTGTTTTGTTTTGCTGAAAGAACGCACACCTTATTTTGTGATCCGTGGACGGAACTTTAAAACGGTGGTTGTGTTTTAAATTCCGTAACTTCAAAAGTACATAAGTGATTTGAATGATTCTTGTACTAAAAAAAGCTTATGAAGTGGGCTTTAATATCCTAGATTTTGGATTCGCTACATGCAGAACTTCACTAAAACAGAAGTCCCGACATTTGGGTTTCACTTTTTAATCACCCTGTACATTGACTTGACCAACCAGGTGTCAAGCTTGTGAGTAATTTATTATTACACATTATTATTTCAGGCAAGACTTCTTACCGCAGGAAATTTAAACTTTCCCGCGTAGCGAAACCTCATTGAATAAAAAAAAACACTTGTGAAATAAATAAGCGTTCGATTATCACCACGGGGATCATACAGGTGAACTGCTGCCTAATCGCTGATACCAAACTCTTAATTGTCTACTTTCTCCAGGATCAAACGACGCAACCAGGCTAAAGATGACAGCTTTACGTGCTCTTGCCATCATTTTGATGGTGCCGCTCATTTGTAAGTTGATAAATACAATATTTCATACTAGAGTACAACCAGTTTCATCTTCAACCCTTTTAAATAAAACGAAAACTATTCTGAATGAAAATTAGTTTGACGAGAAAGAAAACGATGCTTTTAAATTTGATTGTTCATGGCTTGTGATGATGGCCAGTACAAGACTCTACCTTTTGATCTATTTCCCAGTCAGTTCGCGTTACTAAAGAGCAAAACGAGTTCAACATTTTTTGGTAGATGTGTTACTGGTTTGAGTCCCATTTTTTCTTTTACAACCCGGTTATAAATGCGATATATTGCGGCCCCTTTCATAAACCCTTTCACAAAAATCAACACTTTTGATCCGGCAGTGCTCCATGATACGACACGGGTCGAATGGCGGCTGCCTACGGCGCCTTTACATGCCTTCGGCTTGACCGCGTTGTATAAGCTGCGTCCTTCGCATTTCACCCCCTTATTGTGATAGTTGAGATTGAACGAAATAAAAGGCCGTTCGATACAAACTGTTTGATAAAATAAAATCTTTAAGTGTAGATGTATAATACTTCAGCCTAGGTCAGCAAAAGCCCGGCTATAAAAGCGACCACGGCGACCAGTTTCATAACCCCTTTCACAATGGACTTGTATAGGCGTGGGCACTATCAGGGTCAGTGGTGAAAACATCTATGCCTTTGGGCACCAGTTTATTCAGTTGCTATGAGTTTATACCATTCAGCACTCCAGACTCAGTATAGCCGCTGAGTTTTAAGTAAATAGGTATGGGAACAAGATATAGCCAATCCTGGTAAAACTGCCGTCATAGAACTGCGCGTGATTGAAGTGTAACTGTGCAAATTGAAGTGACACTGTGCAAAGAAAAAAGGCTGGAAAAACAGCCGAATGGTGGAAACAGACGTCGAAGGAGAGGTGAAAATTCAAAGAGATTGGGCATAATCAGAGCGTGGTTATTAATTAAAATATGGCCGTTAAAAACAAAAGTCCGAGGCTCGTGCCCTTTCTTCCTCGTCTGATTAACGTAATTATCATGGCTGTTAATTTTGCCGATGAAGTTTTAACAACTGCTGATAGCAAGTAATAATTGTCAAAGATTGAGAAAATGAAGAAAAAAAATGACATCGATGCAATCCTGACTGACACATGAATATTCATTGTAAAGCTTTGAAAAAACAGTTGCTTATCATCACCCCGATTAGGTCTTTTGAAGCAAGATATTCGACGGAAAGGACCTTCCTCTTTTGTGGTGGTCATTTTGTTCTCGGAATCTCTGGAATTATTTTGATATCTAGGGGACAAAATTCGACAAAGCAACTCACTCCTTTGTATTTTCAGTAGATTACGAAATCAGGCTACGTATTTCCCTGAATGAATAAACACGTTATGAATGTGAAACTATTTTCCCCTACAGATGCCGCCGAATTCACATACGATAACGGCCCGCACGGTGAGTCATTAAATTAACATTGGCATGGAAGTTGACTGAATTTGACTAGTGTAACACAATTTGTGACATGACGCGAATCCTTTAAAGGTCCATGAAGGAGAGATGTTACATGCATATAATCGAGTTTATGGCTTCAGACTAGCGCCCCTTGAATAAAGACATTGACGAATTTGGGAACCGCCAACATAGGGCAGAATAGCTCAGTTGGTAGAGCACCGGAACGGCAATCCGGAGGTGACAGGTTCCAACCCAACTCTAGTCAATTTCTTTGTTCAATTAAAAAAAAAGTGAACCTTGGGATGGCATACCGCTTTGGGTTCGAAACTGAGACAACAAGTTCTCCTAAATATCCGCCTTGAATCTTGGATTGAACTAAATCTTTCAAATCCTCACAGAGTTTAGATCTTGCATATAAAAGTGATATCATAGTAAAAGTAACAAAGACGTATCACTCCTACACAGGACCATCCCACTGGGCTAGCCTTTTCCCCAAGGAGTGCGCGGGTAGTCTGCAGTCACCTATCAATCTCAAGATGAGCCAGGCTACGGACAAAGATCTGGGCAAACTTGAATTGGATACCTTCTTCACGTCCTGCAAATGGCCGACTGGGACGGTAGTCAACAACGGTCATGCGGGTAAGTAAAACAGGGGGTAGTTTGAGGGTGAGGTGCACCGTCATCTCTCGGGGGAGGGGAGGGTTGAGGGAGCACCTGGTTTCCTGAAATGTTTCGGTAATCTTTAGTGAAATTGTAGATACAGATTTGTTTCCTGAGCTTCATATTCATCAGTTGCAACGTATCGAGGTCTATTATTTGAGGCAACTATTATTATTATCACCCACAGTGCAAATTGCTTTCAACCAAGAGTTTGTCATCGGTGGGGGCGGGCTTCCTGGAAAGCAGTACAAGGTGGCCCAGCTTCACTACCACTTTGGAAGCAAAAACGGACAAGGGTCGGAGCACGCCCTCAACGGCAGGCACTACGAAGCTGAGGTAAGAAATATATACTCGGATTACTATGGGCTCCGTGCGCCAACAAAAGAGGGCGCCCTTTACCTAGCAACGATGTCCCATGGGCGGGACATTTAGCTGGTTGTCGCGCACTGAGGCTTGTTTGTGAAGCACATACACCACGGGATTTGTACTGCACACGCAGAGGTACGGCCGCGCGTTGCGGCAAATTGCAGTCAGGCAAGATGGCGTCGGTCGGTCACCCCCAACTGTACTTTTTCTGCCGTAGAGGGGGTACTTGTGAACGGAGCGGATAGGGTACCGAAGTCTGATGTCAGCTGCCTTTGTTCTGCTTTTACGCGCTGATTCACGTGCTAATGTTGATCTGTACACCTAATCTATGGGCGTAAACCAGAATACAAGGCAGCTGAGTAGCCATCTCGATAGCATTTATACAACCTTACAATTATACAACAATATACTAGTTAAGAATATTGTTGTCTGTAATATTTAAATTACACGCTTACCTGTTGTGTGGGGAGTGGTGTAGACTTTTTGAACAGTTTTACATGTACATGTACAAGTACATGTACATGTACATTCACATGCACATGCACATGTACATGCACATGTACGTGATCAAGGTACATGTACATGTACATATACATGTATATGTACATGCACATGTACATGTACATGCACATAAACGGTACCTTCGGTTGAAAGTTATTTTTATCTTTTGAATGTAGATGCACCTGGTGACGTACGACACCAAGTATCCATCCTTTGACGAAGCTGTGAAGAACAAAGACGGGTTAGCAGTGTTTGCAGGAATGATCGAGGTACTTTGTGTGTAAAACAGTCTGCAACGAGACGCACGAAACCCTTCATACTCGAGCGCCCTCTAGTGTCCTGCTGCCACTTGAGGGCGCTTTGTTTAATCAAAGACATGTTATAAAATGGCGCTGGAATTGCGTAGAGTAAATCTTTTGCATTTTCGTCGCCAAGGGACCTTCACAAAAGAAAATAAATACATCCCCTCGACTGTGGTGTTATAGAAAATGTTAACGTACATGTCACATAGCACACGATTCAATGCAAATTTGAACTGTTGATTGCGTCAACAAGGTTGGGGCTTAAGTTGCAATTACGTGGATCACAAAAATCTATTTCAATCTGGCGAACACGCTCATGATAAAAGTTGTAATTAATTCCAGGATCATGCTGACAGGACCACATTCTCTTTTAACAGGTAATGGTAGTTATCCAATTCATTTGTTTCTTTTTTAGGTGGGCTTCTTCGAAAACCACTTATACAAAGACTTCCTAAGTGCTGTAAAAACTGTCAAGTACAAAGGTAAGTCAGGAAGATTGTTTGTATTACATTCATTCAAAGAAATTTGAATAACTTGACAAATATTAACTGAGAGTTTCAGGCAGAAACAACACCAGCCATTCACTGTGTCAGATATTTTTGGAATGTTATATATTTGGTCATAAAATGTTACCGTATTGGTTTTCACATTGATGGCGCAGTTGAAAGCTTACAGGGAGTACAAGGTTGATCAACTTGTTTGCTGCCACCAAGCGGCCATAGCCGTGCAAGTCTTCGGTTATGAATATTCATGTTTGTTTATGAAGGAAATTCCAGGAGTTCTCTCTACCCTGTTGCAACACGTTCGAGACAGTCAGATTTGGTTTCAGTTTTGAGCAGTTTTGAGCATGTATCATTGCATGGCATTGTATAATCAACATATTTGCTGCCACCAAGCGACCATTAGCCTGCTAGTCTTATAGATCATGAATATTCATGTCTGTTTATGCAGGATATTCCCGCAAGTTCTCTTTGCCCTGCTGCTTGGTGGATCTGTTGCCTAATGACTTTGGTGATTTCTACCGCTACCGTGGCTCACTGACCACGCCTCACTGCAACGAGGTGGTCATTTGGACCGTATGGAGGAAACCTGTGCGACTGTCTTCGGCCCAGGTAGGTGACACTTCATGTATACAGTATATTGAGAAGTACACGTAGTGCTGTCATGCCTAACCTGTCAGTGTCGTATTCGTTGTCATTGTAATTGTTGTTACCTTCATCGTCATCACCGTAAGCTTCGTTGTCATCATCATCAGCTTTGTTGTCATTCTCATCGTAGTCGCCTTCATAAATTGTCATCATTGTCACCTTCGTTGTCACCTTATTTGTCATCAATCATTGTCAACTTCATTGTCATCATCGTCACCTTCGTTGTCATATTCATTGTCATCATTGTCACCTTCGTTGTCACTCAGTCATTATTGTCACCGTCGTTGTCATTGTAATCATTGTCGCCTTCATTGTCATCACCGTCACATTCATTGCTATTGGCTTCATTGATAGCAGCAGCATGATGTCGAAACGATCTGTCGAAACATGAATGTGGAAAATCTATCCTGATTATTGAATTCGCCCTTCACTTTTCTCACACAGATTGGGGTGTTCCGGAGCCTGTACAGCAGCGAAGATCACGCTGTTACCAAGGTACCGCTGGCTGATAACTACCGCCCTCTGCAGGCGGTCAATGGTCGTAAAATCCTGTACAATGGCGTGCATAACTATCGCTGGGTGCTGAACCTCGAGAATGTGCTGTTTCCACCTAAGACTAAGAGTCCTTATTTCGTCTGAGTTTTCGCAGTTTCATAAGTGAAGTTCTCTGCGCAAGGGCCTTTTTCACGTGGTTATTAAACAAGGGCACTGCATATTAAATACAGAATGAAGTTGAAATTTAAGTTTAATTGATTTAAAAGTAACAACTGCGGATCATTAGTTTCATCGTTATTGAGTATCAAGGGATATTAATTAATGCATTTATTAATCGTTGGTGTATGGGGGAAATTAATTTAGCATTCTTCATTTGTCCTTTTGGAATTAAATATCATTCATTTAAAATAGATCACAGCATTATTGACTCCGTTTCTGGCGACATTGTGCTACGGCCAGCAAACCAGTACAATTACAGGGCACTAAACATTAAATACGGAATGAAGTTTAAAGTTGAATTTAATTCATTTTACAAAATTTAATAACTACTAATCATTGGTGTAATTGTTGCTGAATAATGAAGGCATACTAATCAAGGTATTTCATATAACAGTCCAGAATCCTCAAATTTTCATAATTACAATTTTTCAAAAGAAAAAGCCCGAGGCATTTACGGTTAGTAATCGTCTTTTTGTATGGGTACAATTAAGTTAGCATTGGCCAGTTATCCTGTTGAAATAAAATAGCAATCAGTTAAAACCGATCAAAGCAATATAGACTTTCGGTCAGTACTGCGCATGCGTCATCAAGGACAGAGTCGTATTGGTTAGGATCAACTACAGTCGTCCATTTAGCAAACTATTTTTTATCTATCACTTTGAATCACCATATCTTAATTTTTAATTTCTATGAATCACTGAGCAAAGCTTTATCTTGAAATGAAATACGATTTTATTTTCCAACTTATTTTCCAACTTATTTTCTCAATTCAAATATTATAATTGTCGAAAAAGTAGGAAAGGCCGATCTGTAAAAAAAAGAAGGAATAATCGGGCTAAATTTTAAAAATTAGAATCGTTGGGGTTCGGTTCTCCTGTTATAAGTTACAGAAAATCGTTAAATCTTGATACATACCAGCAGTTTTCTTCGCTCGTAACTACCTCCCAAACAGGCCGCTGGGAAGGGCTAATCGCCTCGGCACAAAATTTTGCGAAGAAAGCACAGGTGCGCAAAGCATTGTGGGGAGCTTACTGCCGCAACCAAAGCACGTACATTCTGTGCGCACGTGTCATGCGCAGGCGGAAGGCTTGACCCGCGTTATCGTTCAAACAAAATCTATCCAATGAGGGCTCGAAGAAATTACGTCACGCATCCAGAAGAAATTAGCCCTTCCAAGCGCCCTGCTTGGTTGATGGGTAGGCCAATGAGAGAGGCACTTTACTTCTTATACTTTTGGCATTTCCAATCAAATTATTTGAAATTATTAATTTCACGATTCCGTCATTGCAACGCCAACTTCAATAATGGGAAATGCATGCAACACATTTCATTTGGCCTTTCGTATGTACGTTATTGTTGAGGCTTGTAAACGATTAAACTAATAAACAGATAATTCTTGAAAGAGCAAAGTTGGACTGCATTTAATTTCCTGTTGATTTCCACGTGACCTTATCACATGACCTTCCCTCTGGCGTGTGTTATATTTCTGGCCTATACCCTACCGGCACCCCATGCCCTATTCAACATTAATACACCTTGACCGGACGTGACGCTACTGGTGTCCCCGTGAGCTGGCTCAAATTGACGGGTGTTGTTTGTTCGCGGTGCCCGGAGGCGCGAACTTGTTTACGGAATAACCTCCTATACGTGACAGTTATAATGTAATATCGGTTGACCTTACTCGTCAATTATCTCAACCTTACCGAGGCGCGAAGCAAAAGGTGTCGGTGTGGTGCAAACAACTTAAGTTTCTTGCTTCAAATCGTAGATGAATATTGAACGGCTTGACTATATGGCCATTCAGTATAAGATCTAGTACCCCTCCCCGGTTCAACCGATAATGTTACTAATGATAGACAAATGGGGGCCAAAACTATCAATGGAATGCTAAAGTTTCTACATTTTATTCTCAAATTGCCTTAGAATACGGGAGAAAGCATCGCAGATCTCAAGATATTCCCTGGGCAACTCCAGACCCCCCCCCCCCCCCCACGTCTTCACTCAGCCCCACCTTTTGTATCACCCCCCCCCCCCGTTTTCTAAAAGTTAGATCCGCCCCTGCCGTTCGTATGTATGTGTATGTAGGAAAAGGCAATGTGTTTTGATACGGGTGCAACATTAACAGATTCATTTTGGTAGTTTTTTATTTCATTAGAAGGTGAATTGAATCTTGCAGATGTTACAGTTTCGATAAATGTGATTGCAGCGGACCAAAATTGTATTGATTTGGAGAAATATTCCCCCACCCCCTCTCCATTAAAACACTGTGTACATACAGTAGATGGCAGAGAATTGCTCACTTGATACCCTCCGTACCGCTATCTGTGACTAGTGGTAATTTTGTTGGGCGCCCTCTGTTGTCCATCACCACAAGCAGGTGATGAGCACCCAAATATAACTCTACGTATAATCACTACAAAAAAAAATCCAAAAGACTTGGGATTTCCCCTGCCTTTTTTTCTTTCTATTTTAATGGAGTCCCTAATGTAAGCCATCGATCCATCAATGTCTACGGGATTCCGACCGTGAATTCTTCTCAGTTTTGTACCGGGGTCTCCACCGACCGAGACCGGAGGGCAACTCCCGCCGGACTGCTCGTCGCCCCGAGGCGTATAAATCAAAGAATTCGACACGGGCGCCGCGAAATTGAATTACCGGGACTCGTAATTCTGTCAGCTTGGATGAAATTAAACAAATCTACCGTTATTGAATATTATCTTTCCTTTTATTTCCGAAACTGATACCAAATGACAAGGGTTTCTAGTCGGGGTTGAGTTAAAGTATTCCCGTGAGAACTACATGTCCTTTTTACTTTAGAATAAACCTAGGTATTTAAGGAAAAACAGCAAGATAGGTAATACTGAAAGCCTGTTACAAGACAGATACCAAATATGATATCTTGCTTGTTAAAATAATCCATTCATAGAAAAGAAAAATATAATATGTTTCCAAGGAAATCACATAAATCACATTCTGAATTTACATGACTTTCAAAACTGCGTACCTGCAATAACTGCGTATAAATCAACTACCCGTAACATTCTTCTCGTATTGAAAGATGGAAACTTAAATACACACTCTCAACCTTTGAAGGTAGAATGCATTTCATGCACCCATATATCTCCTGACGAATTCTGTCAGAACTTTGCAGATTCGATGAACTTATTGTAACACCGAAATGATGACCGACGAAATTTCACAGCAGCCACACGAGGGCGCGCTTAAAGTAAAACTGAAAATGTACGCCGAGACTGCGCCTTTAAAGGTGGTGTTTGGGGTCGATTTCATCTGGGCGCTAAATCAAAGAGTGGTGTATTGTTTTGATGACCTGCCAAAAACTGAGCCACCGGAGGCCCTCAATTTCACGGACAACTTGAACGGGCCACGGTGTTATCATCACAACTTGGAGGGGTCGTGACCTCCCTATGTACACGGTAACTACGGAGTGTGCTCAGACGACGCGCGTGGAGAGGCTTCTGGATTCATCATCAGCCGCGGACTGATCGATTTTTATGAATCCACTCCGAGGAGAGTGGATCTACGCAGCGGAGCTCACGGGATCTCTCATCGGTGACACCGGCTGGAAACACCCGCGCGGGTTCAGTGACGGTTGGTGGTCCGTCCACACAGTCCAGACGGAATCATATCGGGAACAGGATGCGCGCGCTCAGCCGGGGAATTTAATCGCAGGAAATCAACGTCTGCAGCTATCCTGCCATTTCCCCCTCCCTCCCTTAATCGTGCAATCGCACCGGGGCATTATGTAAAGGAATCTCTGCAGTTGTAGATTGGCAGCCAGATAGGAGTGGCTGTACTTTTGATGACTGATCCTTTTACGATTACATTACTTCCATGGGCTTCTGCACGGATCTATGATTGAATCAACCGACAACCTGCGTGATGTTGAAACGAGATGTGACACGTACGTCTACCATGCAAGGTGGTTTGATGAGATGGTTCTGAATAAATGCAGAAGACAGATTCTTCTAATCTCTTCCAAGAAATTCCTGTGCAATAAAGGTAAGAAAGTACGATTGTTTCCTTTCCAATAACATTCAGCAAACTACCCGCCAACTATAGCTCTAGACCTGGAATAATTATGTTTATCAACGGTAAGATGCTTTAGGCTACAATTTATCCTAGCAAAATCTTAGAGACAGGCTATAAGCCATTGTTTTATGATGTTCCAAGGAGTTGTCTGAATGTCTGAAACCACTTAAGCAACCAGGGACCGTTGTTCTTGAGCACGATACTTTACTGCAATTGCTCCCGTCAAGCTGGATGACGTCATCAGCGGCGTCATTAAAACCTGAAACTTGTATAGTGGAGGAATGATTGCTGGTTTTGTAAAACTTGCATTGCACTTGCAGTGATGCACAAGGCTGCCACCGTTCGGCATTCAGTTTGCTTGGCACACGACGAAAACCCCTTCCTCCAGTCCATAGTCAGAATGTACATAGAGCGGCGGTGCAGCTCAATCCCCTGATCCTGTTTAGATAATAAACATGCTCCAATAACAAACATACACAGTGCACATGGGTTGTCCGGATCAGGTTGGCCCGTCAACATGAGCTTTTGCCGGGCTTGTTTTTGTTTAGAGTCTCTTGTACTTTTTCCCTGTGTAAACTTTCGACTTCATGAACAACCTGGTATAATTTTCAAATTAGAACCGAAAGAGGGCGCCCGATTTGACGTCATTCTGAGCCTTAACGCCTTCCACAGCTAGCTTTTCAATGAGCACAAAATTGCTTTTAGAGTCTGTCACTGCCCATTCAGTTAGCATGCATCTCTGCACGTTGAAACGATGATTCTGTGTCCCAGTTTCAGGACCCACTTTCCACCGTTTATGACACCTCTGACGTCACCGACTGGTCCCAATGCGTCTATGTTGGTCCCTTTACTTCCCCCACCGGGGGTGCCCCTTTACCCCCAATTCCCCTTTTAACCTGCCCTGGTCAAAAAGGCAGGGTCTTTTCGAGTATCCTATTACAAAAATCAAATTGGTTTTCAATGCTGTTAAAACATCGTGGCAGATGGTTCCACCGTACAGCCACAGATTTTGACACTCGACTAACCCCTCACCCGGTGCTATGCATACAAATCTCGTTACTAGGATTATTACAAGTGCTGTATCCACAGTCAATTGATTCAGTACGCTAAAGCTCAACGGCCAGTTAGTGGCCTCTTTGGGTTCGAAGTAGGAAGGTACGAAAACCAAATCAAGTCGAAGGGATCCGAATTTTAAACCCTCAAGGACATCTCGTGTCAATGCTGTCAATTTTCCCCCCAGATTTTATTAATTATCCCAGACTTAGTCGGATCATACTTCAACTGTCAAAACTCAAGAGCTCATGATGGCGATCCAAATGGGTTCATTTTGAAAAATCGTGTTCAGCACATTCTGTTTCTGTTGTCGATGGATATTTAAGCCAGATTTAAACTTCAGTTTACGCTTTAAAAGGCAATGAATCGTCTTTGTTGTTTAGAAAGCAAAGGATCGTCCATTTTAAAACAGCTTGTTTAGTTTCTTCTGTCACCCGAGGGCGGTATTTTGGTATGTGACGTCATTGGCAAAGGCCAACACACGATTGGTCAATGGCCTTTTCTTCATCAGTCGTGTTGTAACAATCCTGGAAGTTCGTTTTGTTGACCTTTTGTAATTCTGAAGCAAGAGCCTTTTATCAGCCAATTCTAGAGATCAAATGTTCTGCCACGTTTCCAACTGACCGAAAGTCGTGCTTTTTACAGGAAGGGAATTCTCGGTGCTGAGTTTGTTTTTGATAAAGGACAGTGGCCCGTGTTTCCTGGGCCTCAGGGAACGCGCATAATGTGATGAATAATGATGGTATATTCGACTTGTAAATGACATGTAAGCGGCAATGAATGATGGTGTGCTATTGTATACCAATATGCAGGTTTTACACAGGATTTCCAAAAATGATTTCCAAGATTTCAGACTTTCACATAAGGTTTTAACACCTCTAATATAGAACGCGCTTTACGATTTATCAAAATACAAAATGTATACTCAAAATTATTTAGCTATTCGGTTTTTAGCTGTAGAATAGCAGCTCAACAAAGCATCGTTTCTCTCCGTTTCTCCGTTAGATAGTTAGTTAGTAACAAACGTTGACATCTATTGCGGTAATCTATTGCTCCTACACTTTTTGAACGGCTTCAACCACACTTTGTTAAAAGTATTAGTAGCCCAGCCCCAACATGTCACATGACCAAACTGGGGTCAAAGTCAAAGGTCATCATGGGAAACTGGGGTAAAAAACCTGATTTTTTTTGTACTCAAAACACTCTTCCAGAAATGACAATGGCACAATCACGTGACTCATGCATGAACACGAATTCGTTGGCCCGCAGCTTCCGAGATATTTCCGATCGCGCTCGTTTTCTTTCGAATAAACATTGTTTCAAATTGAATTGATATCTACTGGGAAAATATTGGTGCAGAAGACGGGGTGATATTTATAGGCAATAAAAAGCAATATTCACAGGATTAGGTGATATCAGAACTGACGATAAAATCGATTTATTCCATCGCAATTGTGTCATCGATGTAATCGATATACGGACAGATTAAATAACCGGATGCAACGACGTCATCGAGACCACGTGTTGTTGACATGCAGCAGGTGGTATTGCATCATTGATAGTTAAAGTGGTAATCGATATCGTAAACATGCACCTGTCTTTTAAATAATTGTAATAATACAGTTATGAATACCGAACAAAATAATATACGTCACCTAGAAATGCTGCGCGTTTTTGAACAACTTGAAAGCATTACAAGTTCATAAAACGAGGCCATAAAATTTTAATTTATGGTTTGTTTGTGGGGTAAACTTCAAACGACAAGATTTAAATGCGAAACTTCAGATGGCAGATGTCAAAACAGTTTATCGAATGTTCTATTTAGAGCAAAGGGGGTTAATATTTATTAGCATTAATATTTTGTAAACATTTGTTAGCTAGTATTTTATAGCAAATATTGTTACATTGACTTGTCTGAAGTTTTGTGCTCGTAGGTGCTGGAAAAATCAAGAAACCTTCGTGTTCATGTAGTCTGGTGACCTGGTGATGAAACGGAGCAATTTATGGACGTTGGGGAATTGTAAGGTTGGGAAACCAGTCTAGTTGGCTTGTGTTCGGTCATAGGTGTGTAATCGATTGCAAACAACATGAACAAATGCAGACTAACTAAGGATGGTAAATTGGGGTTGGGGCAGTATTTGAAAAAAAAAGCCAACTTTGTCCAACGCGGGTCGGTTTCTTGAAAACTACAGCACACCAGGTGCTACAGGACGCATAGACTGTCATTTCACTAACAGTCCAGTAAGGTATTTCATAATAATTCGGTAATTCTGTGTTTTGGTGTTTGCATGTGTTGTATATATTCCCTTTAAATTAAATAGCAAATTGACACTTTGACCGTCGACTTGAGTTGAGCAGAGACACATCTTGCGCGTCATAAACTATAGCACAGCTCCTGCGGAATCGAATGTCGCGTATATACTGTGCAACATCTGCGAATGCTCTCATTAAAGTTTTGCCGGGGTAATGAATCGATGCAGCTGGGGGCATTCAGCGAAGCCAGCCGCTCGATTCCGAAATTCAGAAGGGAGAACCAGATGACTGTAACAAATGAACATTCTCAAAAACCCGGGAGGCAAGTTGCAGAAAATATTGACGCAACATTACATCGGCTTCCCTTTGAAGATAGAAAACACATTATGAAGTGCTTAAAAAACGCCTATTAAGATAAGCTTACTTTCTGCGGGACATTGCTGTCACGTGATTAATAATCAACAGCCGTGACCTGCGTTAAATCAAACAGACATGCCTGGTCGCGTGAGGGCGCTGTGGCGAAGATTAATTCTGAGTTTATTTGATGTTGAACTACGCATGCGTACAAATCGGATGGTAATTAGTCACGTGTTACATTTGAAATGACTCTGGAATTCAAGTAAAACTAGCGTACCATACCTTTAGAAAAGGGTCAAGTTAATTCTGCTGTAATACTTGAAATGCGATATTCCGCTGAAATCCATCCACTATTTTAAGCTTGACAGAATGTCATATTCCCCAAATGCGACCAACTTCTCAATGACGACGAAATGCAAAATCAATATGGTCGCGTGAGGGCGAGGTGGCGAAGAATACTTATTTGTTCAACTACTCGTGTACTCAAACCGAGCCTTTTTAGAACTGATATATGTTATTAGTGTCATGTTACATTTGGAAAAGGCTCTGGAATTCAAGTCAAGCTAGTGGGCCACAACTAAACAGTATCCGGTTTTGCAGTCACACACAAAATGCGAAATTCCCATGAAATCCATCCGCCATTGTAGCCTTGACTGAATGCCCCTCATGTACGCCATATTTAAACTTTTATTCCGTCCTCTCGTCCTCGGCTCGTGTGAGCAACCTCCATAATACGGCCATGTGTGTACATTTTGAAGGTGGAATGGAATGCATTTTCTGTATAGAATAAACCTCCCCCTTGAGGCCACCATAAATGAAGTCGCGCATTATGGCCACCTTCCTAATACGACCATATACAGTACATCTCTCTGCTGTTGCATGTTTAAAGTTTTAACACTTCCGAAGTTCTGAGGAACTTTCTCCCACTTTCCGATCGTTTCCCTTGGTACAGTTGACAAAAGTTGACCTCAAAAAGATTACAAGTTTCTTCTCTGCGTCAATTCCAGGATTAGGGTAAATCGTACCGACTCTCGGTATTCTATTGAAAACTTTCATTAACTTCGCGTGCATTGAGCGACCGCTCTTTACTTTAGATCAACAATCGGGCACAGCGAATTGAAAGGGTATTTTTTTCTGTCAATGGTTAGGGCATATGGCAGTTGAATTTGGATGTGAATACCGTGTGCTATGCCTCTCGAGGCGAAAGTAAGCAATAGATCCAGTGGTGGTGTGACTAACTGAATACTCCATCGGTATGCGCTCTCGTTCGTACACGTGCACCATTGGCGGTGGGCGGCGTTCCGCTT